CATTGAAATCCAAAAAAAATATTTTTAAATTTAAAAAGGTTCTTGGATTATTTATGTCATGCCCTTCTTAAGAAGTTAACTTTACAAAAACAAATAAAAGATAATTTTTTAGGTACTTTTATGACGATTGGGGTTTGGGAAAAACGTTTATTTCGTTAAAACAGTGATAAAATTATCATTTGTACAATTTTCAATTATTTTTTTTATAAAAAAATTAGGAAAGTATTTATTTCAGCATATTTAAAGAGCTATTTATTATCGATTGGCGTATTTAGATTTTACTTCCTTCTTTAAATGACATAGTTTCAACCGTTCAAAACCAGTTCTACGTAAAAAATATGACGTACGCTTGAATGACATTTACTGCTTTCAAGGACGTAATTTCGTTTGAATAGCTTCTTTTGCCAGGGCTTGACCAATCATCGCGATAGTCGTAGTTTATTGTGATGTAAGAGGCATGGTAGCCTGAAAAATGTGAAGGTTTTATGGGTTCTGTTCCCGTCTTACGTAAGAACGTCGCATAAATGTAGAATTTAATGAAGGCTATAGTGCTTTTTCGTAGCGTTTTGTCTCCGGGTTTGAAAGATCGTCTGGTGTATGAAGCGCAGTTGTCGGGCTTGAATGGTAATAGCATTATGCTTATTCACAAGTGATTTATTGTAATATAAAGGTCTCGGCTGCCTTAGGCAACCGTTTTTGCTTACTGAGCAGAAAAACTTTCACAATAAGGGGCTTTATAGTCACATTTCTTGCTTATCGTGAGTTTTGTAAAACTTTTTTTTCCTTGGTTTGTTTTCCGTCAATCTTGTTTTTCGTGGAATCTACCTATCTACCCATTAACTTTCCGTAGAATCTACCTATCGACCCATTAACTCATGAACCGGGGACCAACGGCTTTACTTCTCTTCCGAAGGAAGGTGTGATCAGAGATGTTATGCCTCAGAACATCCCAGCGGCGCCGACTGGGATTGAACCCAGGCCTGCTGGGGTAAGAGATCACGCTTACAACTACACCACCACTGCCTTTTGCGAACCTTGTCATCGTTGTCGTCGTCGTCGTTGTTACCGCCGGTACCGGGCTCGACAACTCGATCATAGATGGTATGGTGTGATATGAGGGGCTCGGTGGCCTTAGAGCGACCGCTTTTGTTTATTGAGCAGAACATCATGAGTTTAATCTCAAGCCCCTCCACATTCAAGGTACGTTACTCGCTTTATTAATATTACTTCTTCTTCTTCTTCGCATTTCAAGCTTATTGCGTGCTCTCAACATAGTGCTAGAGGAAATCGGGAAGACCCGGAAAAAATCAAGAAATTCGAAATCAACGGTAAAAGCCTGTGAATTTCGATAAAAATCGGCGATGACCATAAATACAATTTGAATCCCTTGGAGATTTCAGAATGATGTAGATTAGAGAAAAGTTCCAAGAAAGTGTTATTTAGAAAGAACTCTAAGAGAATTTAACTAGAACTCGATTACAATTACCGTGTGTGTAGAATTATTACAAGTTTTGTTGAAAATTTCATGATGATTATGAAGAGGATTTCAGGATCCTCGAAAACTATCAACGGAATCGAACTTTGAGCGCAGCCCTCAGGAGAGTTTCAAGGAGGAACACCTGTTGAGAGCTCTAAAACAAGAGTGTTTTTATTTTCGAAAATTTTCAGCTCAACATATTTTTTACGCTGGGGGCAGCCCTGCAATCATACAGATGCAGGCGGTGTTTTTGTTGCTTACGTCGTTGTCAGCACTGAAAGTAATAATTAATGCATTGAGTTCTTCATTAAAATATCTAAAATTTAACACAAGATTTTTTCGAAATTCACAAGATTACCAAAATGGTGACGTTTGAAAAAAAAACTACAATGGACAGCCTTCTGGGGTTGTATGCAATGGTGACGTAGGACTACGTGGTCTTATATAATAAATATTATTTTTTAATTGCAGCAGGAGCTTGTGTTTTGCGTACGAATATGTTTATATTATCTGTTTATACTGTTTAGTTTGACTATGATTGCCGTGAAAAGAACCATTTGATATGAATTTTAGTTGGGACATGTTCAGAAATATAACTCTTTTGGAAAATCTTGGAGGCCCTTAAAGCAGTCGATGGTAGCACAGGCTTAAAGCCTTTGGTGGTGATGATGACGTGTAGGCAACTGGACCAGCAAATCAGACCGTACAGGTCCATATTCTTCGGTTCAATGGTTGGGCATGTGAATTTATGTATGGGCCCAAATTAGGGGCATTTAGGCCGACATTACATCCATTTCCCCTATCAACTAATGTGTTTGCCGTCGAGCTATTAACAAAACAGAAAGTCGATGAAGAGAATCGTTAAAAATTACTTTCACCCCTGCTTCCAAATTTGGTTACAAGATTACAAATCTGGAGAGTATTTTGTGTGATCGTTGGGGGCGTGTGGTTTTGAATATGGCGATTAGTTTTCAAAATGTTACGCAATTGCATCCTCCGTATTCACACTTGCCCGAAGATTGGAGGCGAATGCCACTTCGACTTAATTCGTCTACTAACGACTCTCTGATTACTGTGTTGGGGAAGCAGCGTACGCATGTACGTAATTGGTGGATTTGTTGGTTATTTCGACGTTTTTCGATAATGCTTGACAACAACCACTTTTTCAATAGTTTCTTGTTGAAAATCAACAGTCAGAAGCATTGCTATCGATGCGTGGAAATATTTCTGATCGATTATTGATAAAAATTATTGGAACTGGTTCAGGGGCAGCTGAGTTATTAACGATCAAAATCTTTCATAATTTCGTTACATTTTCCATTTTTGGTTTTCACAAAGTGTACCCCCATATAGAAATAACAGACGTAGTAGTTTGATTTTTCGTTGAAAAAATCGCTACGCAAAAAAGCGAAAAGTTAAAATATTCGAAAAATCCAATATTAGATTTTAGATAATTATTTTTTTTACATCGCAGACAGAAGATTCAGCAAAATTGATCGAACAGTATCCGTGATCCCAGTCTTGCAATGTAAAGGTTTGGAGAAAGGGGCTCCCAACAGCGGAAACATTAATATTTTGTGCTGAAAATTTTCGAAAATAAAGCTGAAATGTTGCTAAATAACATACTGAAAACCCGAAGTGGTTGCTTGTATTCTAATGTTCTAAAAAATCAACAAAAAATACGCTTTTTAGCATAACCGAGCATAGCCGAGCAAATTTGGGATGACCTTCTACCAGAGATATTAGCATAGCAATAGCATAATCATAAGAAATCAGTTACTTGAATCCTTAATAAATGGTGTTCCCTACATTTTATTGAAATGCGATCTTCTGTAAAGTTGTAACTGAGAAAATGTCGTACACACCCAGTCTTTTCTAGTAAAGTAGAGCAATATGGTGTATTGTTAGATAGATATGAACAAAAAATTTGTCTTTTTCACAGTAATTTCCATAAAAGCTTCAAATTGTTTGTGCCAAGTCAGTTTCTTAATAAATGGGTGAACCTTTTGGAAGACTAATCAGGACCCAATTAGGAACCGTGTGCATCAACCAATGTATATGGGTCATTCCGTGCCAAGTGTCCGAGGAAATTAGGCAAATTAGGAGAAGATGCTTATTTTAGTCTAACTATTAAGAATCCACATTTTTGGAACGATTGAAGCACCCCCGGTCCAGGGGAACATTTTATATTTTTCCTGATTTTCAAGAAAGCACTACTTTCTTTTATCTATATTAGAGTGGGTCATCGTTAAATGGAAAAACGCAAACTTTACCGCACCAATCGAGAACAACCCTTTTTTGGTTCCATTTAGAGTCCCAAACAACTGTGCAAAGTTTGGAGACGATTGGTTGTAATCCTGCTTTCCGCATTGCGTTTGAAATTTGTATGGAAATTAGTATGGGAATACCAATTTTTTTGCATTTTTATCCCTAGAGACGGCGCCGGTGGTGTAGCGGTAAGCGTGATTACCTCTCACCCCAGCAGGTCTGGGTTCAATCCCAGTCGGCGCCGCCGGGATGTTCTGAGGCATAACATCTCTGATCACGCCTTCCTTCGGATGGGAAGTAAAGCCGTTGGTCCCCGGTTCATGAGTTGATGGGTCGATATGTAGGGTCCAGGTGTGGGAGCTGCCTTCCTGGCACGTCGGTAGCATTGTTGCTCAGCACGGAAAACAAGATCGACGGAAAAAAACAATCCAAAGGAAAAAAATCCCTAGAGAGAACAACTGTGCTTGAACCGTGCAACTAATTATGTACAAATATAGTCTATAAAGTACCTGGAAACTTTGCCGAAGGAAGTACGGTGCTAGAATGTATCTAAAAAAGTTATAGCTATTCAAAAATCTCTTTTTCTGCCAACACTGCCAGTGTACCAATGGAAGTCAAATTCCAAACTGAAACGGAGTTTCTTATCTTACCGATTTGGTATGTTCAGATGAATTTTTCAAAAAACAAGGCGCAAGTTAACATTATCTTCTGTCGACATGTGCTGCGAGCTTAGCGAGAAATTCTTTTATGTTGCCATGGCAAACCAAAGAGAAAGTCGATGAAGAGAATCGATCAACGAGGATAGGCCCTTTTCAAATGTTACGCGAGATTTCATAAATAATACCAAACTACTTTTCACGGCACACGGAATTTTTATTACTTCCACTCAACCCAATTAACTTACAATTTTTAAACCGAATTTCACTTGTTGAACCTACTTGTATGTTTTTGTATAAGAATTTCGTTTCGAACGAAATACAGAATAGGGGTGATAGTGCTTCTGAATCGTTTCCGTCGAATTGCTCAACAACGTTCGGACGACATTGGGGCAGTAGGACTTGCAACGCGCACCCAGCGAACAGATGATTGATCCGAAGTGCAGATAGTTCTTGTCGTTGAATGCACTGAACTACAAACTGTGATTGTCACCCGATTGGATAATCGCTGGGTAGCACATGTCCAACTAGTTGGTATCTACACGGGAGACGTACCCTTTATCCGTCAGAGCCTGCTCCGACAGTTTGGCATGTTTTACTTTTTTTATCGGCATCGATAATCTCCATGATGTGATCTTTGAGGTACTTGTTGAATACGTCCACCGTCACTAGACAGGCCTTCTTGATGGTGATAGCCTCTGAGTCCTCCTTGGAGCACATGATGTACCCGATTGGGACGTTGATGTCCACCGTGTCAAAGCTCTTGTCCTTGACGAAGGCTCGCCACGATTCACAGAATTCACCTGAGAAGACGCCCAACGATTTGCTATCCTAGGATGCCTTGATTGCTTCCAGCAGCTTTTCAAAATTGGCCTTGTTTTTGTCGTTCTTATCCCGAACCAACAGCTTCATAGACGGAATGCCCTCCTCACCGTCTTTCTCGATCTGCTTCAAGAAGTCGATCTTCTTCTTGTTGTTCAGGAAAAAGATGGGCTCTTCGCACAGCACCGTAATCATACCGGTCAGCTCGTATCCCAGCAGCCAGGTCTGCAGCGAGGTGGATTTGCTGTCAATGGTTTCCCCGTCTACGCCGACCGCCGTCAGAATGTAGATCGACTTCTGGAAGCGTTGAGGAGTGCATTCCGTGACCACAATGAGGAATGAGAAAATGCAATGTTTGTAAATCCCCTCCCCCCCTTCATAACAACCCCCTCAACAATAATCCGTAAAAGACATGGACTTTGACGATCACTTTTTCCCGGGAAATAAATTTTAGACAAACCACAATTATTAGTAAAATTAGAAGTTTTTCCCTTAATTTCTTCCCGCATCAAAACTTTCAAATTTGAGAAAAAAAAAATTGCTCGAAAGACATATTCGATGATATTATGTTGATGAATTACTGTAAAAGTAGTAGTAGTAAAATTTCGTTTATTTCTGTTGATTATGGTGTATACATTGATTTTACATTTCAATTGATTAGCCTATTTGGCTCTTTATCTTTGTTAATTGGATATTCTAATTTAGTATTTGGTGTGTTTTTTGGTTTATTTGAAAAATTTGATAACCTACCTAACTACGAGTCTAACTTAACTAACGTGCCAGATCACGAATGATCTGAAGATCTGATCTCAGACAGGTCTCTGAACCTTTCCAAGGAGACCGTTCGTCGAAAAATGTTTAAATTGTTTTGAGTGAACCATAACCGAAACATTGAAATATTTGAAAATTTTAAAATAAAGTATAATAGTCAAAAATGCATGAAAAACATCAATTTTGTGTGGTACGTCATACTGCGGTCGTGTCTAGGACACAACCCTTTAATTTTTTACATTATAAACAGTATTTTTCGTATTTCCTGAGATACAGCATTTTGAAGCAAAGTGGAGGCGAACCAGCCTAAGGCTGAAAGCCTCCATAATAAAGTTAAATAATAATAATAATTTTGAAACAAAGAATGCCAACAATTATGAAAAAAAACCTGTTTTTCAATTTTCTTTTCGTCCGCTCTTCTAAGTAAGAGAACTGATTTTTCACGTCTACTATTTCAAATGTTTTTGAAGTAAAAATAACATGAAGAATAATTTACAGTGTTGCCAAATTTAAGTTTAATTTTCCAGCTGTAAACAGAATTGGGATTTTTTGTGAATATACTTGATTTCAATATATTTTTTGATAGCTTCATCGTGTTCCTTTGTCATTTTTACATAAGATAGAGTAAACAGAAAAATTTATGTATAGTTGCTGTGATATTGAATTTTTGAAGAAAAAATTACACTCATAAAATAAATCACATAACCAGTGGAAAATATCCATGTGAATTTCACATAACTTTCATGTGATCCCATAATTGGAAATTGCACCACTAAATCACATGAACGTTATGTGTCCAATGAAATCTATATGATTTCTCATATAGAATTTCCAATGCTATGTGATGTTCAGGTAAAAATCATTGTTTTTGTTTTTGGAAAAATACTATGTGCGTTCCTAATAGAAACTAAGTGAAAACTTTTTTCAGTGTAAACATCTCTTCCGAATTTTGTACCAAATCGAAAGAAGTCCAGTACACTTTTGTATTTTTTTTCTCGGTAACTTGGCGTGAAATGACCCATATTTAACCTATACATAGTCTACACTTCCTGTAATCGCATAACAGTCAATTTTGAGACTACAATGCTATCCACTATCAATTGTCATCTAATTTCATTATGTGATAAAACTAGGGACTTTGATCGTGAAAAATGTGAACACAACATCAAGCCAGTTTATCCCATCATGCAACACAATCGCTTATCAGTCTCATCCTTGAATTCAATCATCCAGAGGTTAAGTTACGGTTCTGCTTCGGTTCTGCAATCCAACTGATTTTAACTTTAAAAAAATATTTATAAATTAATTATGATTTTTCAAACATGGGAATCGCACCTGGTAACTTCAACTGTCATTTTCTCATTGCTTACTTTTTTCCCATATGGGATTGGTATGGGATAAGAAGCTGATTGATGAAATAAATACACAGACAAAAATTCTCAATTTTACTGATGACATGCATGTAAACTTGATTTTCAGTTAAATTAGCAGCTTGTAAGCAGTTTGATCTTAAATGTAAACTCATATGATATATGATGCTCCATTTATGTGCATCATAGTATCAGAAATTTACACTACTTTTTCGAACTGTGTAAGTGAAATAAAATACATAAATATAAAATTAATTTACCATATGATAATTTGTGAACCTCATCTCGAACAATAGAGTTTTTTTTTATACAGCCATTCCATTACAAAAATTGGTGGTTTGGTTACTTATCGCAAAATATTAGGCCCGTATTTTTCTTTATTTTGTCATTAGGGTGACACCATTGACAAAAAGGAAAGCACTAGCACAAATTTACAACACTATCATAACATATGCAAACAACTCAACACAGCCATTAACACTGCACATGAAGAATATCGTAAAGTCGAAAATGAAGTCAAATCATATCCTAAGAACTTTTTCAAATAGGGTAAATGTTGGCTTCGGCACCCATTGACTGTTTTCGGCAACCAAAATTTAAACGTTAATTTCACTATGTTTTCCCATCAACGCACTTCCCTGAATGTGTCCAAACGATTGTTTAGCCTTTCAGCTTCAATCTGATTATATTTGAACGATCGAGCAATCCAGCAATGCTACATTTTTCTTCAAATAAAGCATACGCACTACAAAATGAGATTGATTTCGAGTTGCCGATAATAGAACAGCTGGTTAACACGCAGTTCTAATGGGAAGGTTGCCGAAGAAAAAGAGACTGCCGACAATAGTCACACTCACCTGAGAAGTTTGGAGCGTTGTAAAAACGCTTTCAAAACGTTTTGAAAAATTCGGTCGATTGGAATGGATAGAGAAGCAAGCAGCAGATGAATGTAAACAAACAGACACATCATATATGTGCGTGACCCTGAGAAAATGCTAGTAGAAGTGCAGACGCTGCTTAGATTGACGAGAATACGTAAATTCCCCTATGTAAAAACGAAATTGAAAAGTAATAATTTTCCGTCACAAATGCATTTTGATGGAAATGTAGCTTAAAATCCTTCTGAAATCTGCAATCTCTTTGCAAATTTATTTCAGGAAGTATACACCACATTTTCTGAAAAAGAACGCGACCGCGACTTCTTTGCATTCATTCCCGAAGTCTCTAACAACATATCTGTCAATCAAATATGTCAACATGAAGTCCTCAATGCACTAAAAAATTTGGACTCATCTAAAGGACCAGGACCTGACGGAAATGCACCTGTATTCTTGAAGAATCTTTCAGAACAACTCATCCTTCCTTTAGAACGCCTTTTCAATATGTCTCTTGAAAATGGGAAATTCTCTGAAATTTGGTGCCTATTTTCAAATCAGGCAAGAAATCTGACATCCGTAATTATCGTGGAATTGCCATTATCTCTTGCATCCCAAAACTTTTTGAATCAATCGTAAACGACAAAAATTTTCAGCAAGTAAAAAATCCAATTACAAACAAACAGCACGGTTTTTTTAAAGGTCGTTCAGCTACCTCTAATCTTCTTGAATTTGTAGCCTTCATTCTTAACGCAATGGACAATGGCAAGGACGTGGAAGCTCTTAATACTGACTTCAGTAAAGCATTTGACCGGATAGACATACCATTATTACTCTTTAAATTGCAAAAAAAAAATGGAATCTAGGCTTCTGAAATGGCTCCAATCATACTTAACAAATAGTTCGTTTTCAGAATAAACTTTCAGAACCTATTTCAGTCACCTCTGGGGTGCCCCAGGGCTCTTATTTAGGCCCAATTCTTTTTATTTTGTACGTAAACGACATTTCCTACATACTTAAAAAAATAAAAGTTCTTATATATGCAGACGACATGAAGCTCTTCATGGAAATAAGTAATTCTAGCGACACAGAAGAATTCCAGAATGAAATCAACTTATTCAACACTTGGTGTAATAAAAGTCTACTCCAACTCAATGTAAAAAATGCAACGCAATTGTATTTAGCAGAAAAGTAGAAACACATCTTTTTGAAATATTTTTAGGCAACCAAAAAGTAGAAAAATGTAAAATTGTAAGGGACCTAGGTGTGATCCTAGACTCCAAACTCACTTTTGTAGAACATTATAATACAATCATAACGAAAGCAAATAGTATGTTGGGCTTCATTAAGAGGTTCAGCTATAATGTTCAAGACCCATACATTATCAAATTATTATACCTTACATACGTAAGACCTATTCTGGAATACTGTAACCTGGTATGGAATCCGTACATTACCATTCACGAGGAACGCATAGAATCCGTCCAAAAACAATTCCTTTTAAATGCCCTTCGGAAATTGAATTGGACCGCATTTCCTCTTCCATCATATGAAGCTCGCTGTATGCTCATTAAACTGATGCAAAATTTGACTTTTTCGCTCCACAGTGCTTGAATGGTTTCAAATCGGGTCGTGATTAGCCTCCAAAAGTTACAACTCATTTGGTTAGAAACAGACTTCGCACAAAACATTTGAAGTTTTCATGTAAATACTATGGGAAATCTCAACTTTTTGTTCATTGCCTTCTAGTCTTTTTCCATACTGAGCTGCGAAACAGCTCGATAGCTATTCTTATAGAAAATTTTCTCAGCTACAACTTTGCTCAAGATCGTTTCGATGTAAAACGAGACAGGAAATAGTTATTAATTATTTAAGAGATTGG